TAAGGATATTACATGTATGAGTTTTGATATGTCAATATTTAGTCAAACTTCATGTTTTAAGGTTGTTAAGTTCAAAGAATAAAAGAAGCTCGATATAGAATCGTTTTATTAACATCCTTTAGAAATGAGTTTAACTTATGATTTTAACGAGTAAAATATCGCCATAATATATTATATTGTGAATGTATAAGTGTATTTAATTGACCGAGATGAAAATATAACGATAATGTATTTCAATTTGTTATGGTGTATGAAATAACGAATGTACATTCTAATGTATTAAATTAAAACAAACTACTTATACGAATGTTGTACTTCTTAATTTCAAAAAATAACGTGTGTTGTACTTCTTAATTTCTTAATAATGTGCATGTGATTATTGTTACTTATGATTGATGTTGTACTTCTTACTATTGTGATTAAGTTTTGTACTACACAATTATTGTTTTATGACATGTTGTCTTTCTTCTATGCTTTTAGGAAACCAAATGGAGTATGCTTTCGATATACCTTCTACGTGCTCTGGAGTCGTGACAATAGGTGCGACCTCAAGGTTGTCGATCATGTATTTAAGAATCTAGATGATGCACATCAAGATTTATTTGTAGAATCTTGCTTCCGGCAACTAGTGCACAGTCCGGAGTTGAAATTGTCGTCTTAAATTCCGTAGATCAATCTCGGATTAGTGTTTGGCGTGAAAAACTAGTTGTTGAGATATATGATGCTCATTTTGATCTATAGTTTGTTTTAAACATTTAATATGTAACGAGTTGTATGGATCTTTTGAATAATACATTGTTGTATTATTTTTCATGTGTTATTCAATGCAATGGTTATTGAATGCAATGGTTATTTTTCATGTGTTATTCAATATAAGGGGTGGTCGATTTTTTAAGTTGTATTTTATACGTACTTCCAATGCAGTAGTTATAATAGTTTTTTATCAAAATGGTTAAAAATATTACTCTAACGAGAAGTTTTAATGAAATAAATAACGAAGAGGTTCAATGCCGAGCTCCCAAAATAAGTCGAGGAACCGATTACAAGGCGTTTAAAAAATAGCAAAATGAACAATTCGTTATTTTAAAATAAAAAATAAAAAAAATGCTTGTCGCTGCCGCGACGTCTGTCGCGGCCACGACACTGGGACAACTTTCTCTGTCCATGGCTTGAGAGGTCCCAATGTCGAGTCCGCGACACGAGTCGCGGTCGTGACATATAATTATTTCAATATAACGATTATATAATCGTTTTTTGTATGAAATAACGAATATATATTCGTTATTTTGAAAAAAAAAAATTGCTTGTCGCTGCCGCGACGATAGTCGCGGCCGCGACACTGGGACAACTTTCTTTGTCCATGGCTTGAGAGGTCCCAGTGTCGCGTCCGCGACACGAGTCGCGGTCGTGACATATAGTTATTTCAATATAACGATTATATAATCGTTTTTTGTATGAAATAACGAATATATATTCGTTATTTTGAAAAAAAAAATGCTTGTCGCTGCCGCGACGACCGTCGCGGCCGCAACACTGGGACAACTTTCTCTGTCCATGGCTTGAGAGGTCCCAGTGTCGCGCCCGCGACACGAGTCGCGGCCGTGACATATAGTTATTTCAATATAACGATTATGTAATCGTTTTTTGTATGAAATAATGAATATATATTCGTTATATTATGAAAAAAAAATTGCTTGTCGCGGCCGCGATGTCCGTCGCGGCCGCGACACTAGGACAACTTTCTCTGGCCATTCTAGAGAGTTCCCAGTGTCGCGTCCGCGACACGAGTCGCGGCCGTGACATATAGTTATTTCAATATAATGATTATATAATCATTATTTGTATGAAATAACGAATATATATTCATTATTTTGAAAAAAAAATGCTTGTCGCGGCCGCGACAGACACTGGGACAACTTTCTCTGGCCAATTGAAGTCAAATTAGTACAATTGAAATCAATTATAATGTAATCAAACTCGAATTAGTATAATCTCGGTCAATTATAATGTAATCGAACTCGAATTAATCTAATTAAAGTCAAATTAGTCCAATTGAAGTCAATTATAATGTAATCGAACTCGAATTAATCTAATTAAAGTCAAATTAGTCCAATTGAAGTTAAATTAGTAAGATTGAAGTCAAATTAGTACAATTGAAGTCAATTATAATGTAATCGAACTCGAATTAGTCCAATTGAAGTCAAATTAGTACAGTTGAAGTCAACTATAATGTAATCGAACTTGAATTAGTCCAATTGAAGTCAAATTATTAGTACAATCTCGGCCAACTATAATGTAATCAAACTCAAATTAATCTAGTTAAAATTAAATTAGTCCAATTGAAGTCAAATTAGTACAGTCTCGATCAATTATAATCTAATCGGACTCAAATTAATCTAATTAAAGTCGAGCAAGTCAACTTGAAGTCAAATTAATACAATCTCGATCAATTATAATGTAATCGAACTTGAATTAATCTAATAAAACTCAAATTAGTCCAATTGAAGTCAAATTAGTACAATTGAAGTCAATTTAGTACAATCGAAGTTGATCAACCTTCAATTTCGCCGCCCCCCCTTCACCTTCCGACTTGCCGCCGCGCCATTGATATAGGAGCTCGTCGATTCGAGGCTGTGGTCACTTTCTGTCTCCTCTGGGCTTTGTGGATGTTTGGGTTGGAGAGCTCTCGCCCACACTGGGTCTGAGTAGCTTCGTCACCTAGCATCCCCGGCTATGAACGAGACCGCCGGCAGCAAGAGTTCAAGCCAAGCCTCGTGGAGGTACAGTCCAATCGTTCCGCTGGGAGTCTTGTTGTTCATGGTTTGGGTCATTTGGTGCGGCTTATCGTCCGTTCGATCCCTCTTTCGAGCACTCCGGCGAGGCGAGTTGGTGTCCTCGCGGCAGCTCCCTCTTCTCCCCAGCGTGGATGATTTTCGGAGTCCAGATCTGAACCGAGAGCAGTCTCTTCTTCAGATCCGTCTAGGCGGCCCGTGTGGTCGCAGTTTTCGGGCTTAAGGTTCCGGTGTGTGGTTTTGTTGGATCTCCTTGCTAGTGAATGTGGATCGTGTGTGGTCCCCGGTGGTTGGGCATCGAGTCTGTTATGTGTAGGGGAGGTTCTAGTTTATTTGTACATTAGGTGTGTGTGTTTTTTTTTTCTGATTTGCTTTGTGTTTTATTTTGGTGCTTTGGTTCGTTTAGTGCAGCTTTGTCTGCTTTCAGTGCAGCTTGTCTGCTTTTAGTCTCTTTTTGGAGTTTTGTTTTGTAGGTGCTTGCCTCCTAGATGGAGTTTGTACCCCTTTGTCTGATAACAAGGGGGGTTGGTCCAGTTTTCTGGTTCCAGTGTGTCTTTTGACACTTCGGTTGTACTCTTTTGAGTTTTTCAGTTATTAATATAATTGTCGTTTGAAAAAAAAAAGTACAATCGAAGTTAATTATAATGTAATCAAACTCGAATTAGTCCAATTAGTACAATCTCGGTCAATGATATTGTAATCGAACTCGAAATAGTCCAATTGAGGTCCAATTAGTACAATCTCGAACAATTATAGTGAGTTCAATTGACTGAGATTGTAC